AGGCTGGATGAGGCTTGTATCAACCTGGTCTAGGGGAAGGTGTCCCTGCCCATGGCAGGGGGTTGGAACTAGATGATCTCCAACCCAAACTGTTCTGTGCTTCTTTCTAAAATAGTTTGGAAATCATTGTACCATGCTACTGTAAATAACTTCCAGTCATGTGGGCAAGTCTTCTGTACCTGAATTTTTCCTCAGCCAATTCCTGGAAATACAGTGCACATCACAATGACTGAAATTCCAGGATATTCTCTGCTTGTTTTAAAGGATTAGCCCATAATGGGCAAGTCTTCTGTAGCTGAATTTCTTCTCAGCCAATTCTTGGAAACACAGTGCACATCAATGACAGATTCCAGGATATTCTATGCTTGTTTTAAAGGATTAGCCCATATTTTAAGTAACTGTTTCAAAAGAATGTCTGTTCTAATACAACCCAGTTTTAAAGCATGGTTCATTTACAGTAAGCTTAAGTTCTCACAGATTCACAGAGTGTTTGGGGTTGGAAAGGACCTCTGGAGATCATCTAGTCCAACCCCCCTGCCAGAGCAGGATCACCCAGAGCAGATCACACAGGAACAAGTCCAGGGGCTTTGGAAAGTCTCCAGGGAAGGAGACTCCACCCCCGCTCTGGGCATCCTGTTCAGGGCTCTGTAACCTCACAGGGAAGAAGGGTTTCCTCATGGTCAGGTTGAACCTTCTGTTTCCCAGTTTATGGCCATTGCCCCTCGTCCTGTCACTGGGCACCACTGAGAAGAGCCTGGCCCCATCCTCCTGACACCCACCCTTCAGATACTGATAAGCATTGATAAGATCCTCCCTCAGCCTCCTCTTCTCCTTTTTATTAATGTGAGATGATGCCACTTTCTCTGTCCTAGCTTGAATCAAACTCTCACCTTTCTTGACTACTCTCTTTGCTTTCATATTTTTAAACATACAATTCTTGGGTAATGAAATGATGGGTTTTTTTTATTGGTATACAGCAGTAGCAGTAATTTAACAGCCCCTAAATGATGCAGGCAAAGTATGCAGAGCATTTGGTTTACTCTGTATTACCTTTGGCATGAAAACAATGCCAACAGAACATTTCTGAACAAAGTCTCACAGCAACAAAATGATATGCATGTAACCTTTTTGGACCCTTTCCTCTGGTACCAACTGTTGAAATCGGCAGCGGATCATTTTTCCTCTCCATGTCTACCAAATTGTATATTGTTTTTTGACAGTTGAGCACATCCTCATCAGTCATTGCTTCTTTTACAATCACGCTGGCTAACGGCACGACCTGTAAGACAAAACAAAAGTCAGCCACCAGAAAGTCCGTGTATGTCACAGGGGAGAAACAGGAAGAAATCAAAGACCATGGAAGGATGGAACAACACAACAAAACCAACCCCTAAATCCTCAGTTTAGTAGTAACTTTGAGTAGGTATAAGCAGCTGCACATTTTCTTTACCCAGCAGTACTGCAGCTGTCAGGTTCAAACATTCCACCTTATTTACATGGCATTCCAATAATCTATTGACGTTAAATACAGAGTACTTAAGTGAAAAAAAAAGCTGAAAACCTGATTTTGTGGCAAGTGACTTATCATAAATCAGAGTTAATATTACATCAAGTGGCAAGGTGAAACTTAATCCGGGCCAGAAAAGGTTACACACCCCAGGTTACTTACAGCTTGCATGTTGAAGATGGTAGTCTGAGAAATGATCATGGGCCAGTAACGAGTATGTTTCTCTAACTGATCTTTTGCACGTTCCAATGGAATTTCAAGACTTCCATCGATCTTATATCTGGGTTCTAGAAAAGGAGTTAATCGGTTTTCCCTCATAAATTCACCAAAATCCTAATGATAACCAAACAAGATACAGTTAGGCATTTCTCTAACAAAGTAACTTTCACTGAATGGGCAAAACAGCACAGTCTTGCTTATCACCAACCCTGCACCATCCCCACCGCTAAATCCGGCCCTATCAACCAGAGCCCTGTTTCTAGCTTTCAGAGGTACATTATTCGGGGTGAACACAAAAATAGCTGTATAAAAGCTTGGGTTAAAGACTGATACAAAGTTTTTGATGAGGATCTGGAAGGTATTTCATGTATGGTAAGAGTTTTATTGTGTTTTTCTGGAAGCTGCGTCTGCTGTTTACAGATACAGAGGATGTGTTGGAAAAAAGACAAAAAAAAAGGAAAAAACCAAAATGAATGCCAGCTGATTGCCTGCTCCACACCCAGGGTTCAAAGCTGACAACTTCATCATTTCTGGGTACTGTGCAAACCCTTCACGTGCAATCTATCCTCTTGGCAATAAGCAAAATATAGTCCTATGTGTATCCAGCCAACAGGAAAAACTTGCCAAGAAAGAAGTTATTCTACAGTCAGAACAAACTTTAAATACACATGGTGTGTAAGGAGGCAAGTACTTCCCTGACACAAAGGATTCCAAGAAGCAGGAGTAACAATAAGCAGACGTACTACTTCGTACCAGCAGTACAAAGAAGTCTGACCACACAGTCCTCTTCAGAAAACATACCAACATTTCCTCTACACGTGTACTGCACTACATCTCTGGTCACCCGAGATAAGCAACGGCTTCAACAGAACAAAAAAAAAAATCAACCAAAAACCACCAAAAGCAAAGAATCTTACTGTAATCCGGTAGTCAGTGACTCTTCCACCACACCCTTCACTAATCGATGGGGGATCTTCTAGAATTGATCGTGAGCTGCTTAACACATGCAGAAAAATTTCTCCTCCGTGGCGCGGCTTCAACAGAACAAAAAAAATCAACCAAAAACCACCAAAAGCAAAGAGTCTTACTGTAATCCGGTAGTCAGTGACTCTTCCACCACACCCTTCACTAATCGATGGGGGATCTTCTAGAATTGATCGTGAGCTGCTTAACACATGCAGAAAAATTTCTCCTCCGTGGCTGCTGAGCATGTGACTAATTACTTTAGAGCCAGACTTGCGTGGCTGTTCCAACAGAACAGAACGGCCTGTTGGAAATGAGATCAGATTCATCAGTTGCTGCGTGCTGCAATTGGAAATCAAAGACCACCAAACACAGGTTTTGTACCTAGCCAGCAGGCTCTGAACCCACTGCAGTTGGGTTTTCACCTAGCTGAATGTGAAAGCCATCTCCTCTGAGTAGTTACTCCATGTCTTTACAGAGAAGAGAGCTTCATATGCTCTTAAATTTTACATGGAAAGATCAAAAAGCCTCTCTCCTGGACCAGCAAATCACTTTCCCTGTAGGATATTATAAATACTTATTTTTTCTAAGACATAAAAACAGTATTGTTGTGTAAGGGCAGTTTGCTCTTTTTCATTACCACAGATTATGTTGCATGCTAAACTTATTTGGTCCTACTGCAGAAACTCTCTCATACAAAGCAACTTGTAAAAAGCAACAAAATAACCTACTTGAGTATAAAGGTATCAGTTGCAGCTATTTGTCAAGGCTTAAAATAGATACTGTTTTTCAGACAGAGAAATAAAACTGTCTCAATTGCAGCCAGTAAAACACACTAAAAGGCTACGTCCTCCAAGTTAGTTTTTTGTTATGAGGAAGCAAAAACAGAATTATCAGAAGAGAATGGTTATCTGAAATATGCTACTAATTTTGTTTCTAACCGTTTTTATTAATCAAAGTACCTTTTTAGTACAGCATCTTTAGAGAAAAGCACAACAAAATAGTCTCCAATGAAACCACTGCACGTTTATTTAGACATTCAAATTACTTGAAGAAAACATCCCATTAAAAGGATGTTTGTAATGCAATTTTGCTTGCAAACGAGAAACACCCCACATCAATGACTACATGTTACTCATTTGGAAGCCACAGCTTTGGCTCACCTTTCTAACATGGGTTTCAATGATAACTTCTTACAGCAAGGTCATTCGTGGCAATGGGCAAGATCTTGCCAATAACCTACTTTTTGACCGAACCCAGCACACGTAGGTATCTCTGCTTCAACTGATCAACATGCTTAGTCAGTCATAACCCAGAATCACTGAGGTCGGAAAAGACCTACAAGCCCATCCAGTCCAATCATCAACCCAACACCACCGTACCCACTAGACCGTGTCCTCAAGTGCCATGGCTACACGCTCCTTGAACACCTCCAGAGATGATGACCCCACCACTTCCTGGGCAGTCTGTTCCAGTGCCTGACCACTCTCTCAGTGAAGAAGTTTTTCCTAATATCCAATCTAAATCTCCTCTGACACAACTTGAGGCCATTTCCTCTTGTCCTATCACCAGTTACCTGGGAGAACAGACCAGCACCCACCTCCCT